CCAGCCGCTGCTTGTGCGGGCTGCAGTGCCCAGTGCRGAAGGGGGGAATTCATGCAGGAGGCGGCCCTGGGCTTCCCGGATCGCCGCATGTGCTGCCCGGRGCACAAACTGCGCGGCCGCTTGGTACCTGCGCCCTGCGCGGGAAGGGCCGGATCCGCAGGCACGGCTCGTTTCCCCGCTCATCTCCGGCAATCCCAGCGGCGAATCCGCGCGTGAGCAGCGGGCCACACGCGGCGATTTGGGACGCGAGGATGTGAAAAGGAAAACCGGGCAGCAAAAGGTCCTTGCGCGGCTGCGAAGCCACCAAAGCGAGCGGGGGCCGCTGCGGCGGGGACACGGCTCCGAGAGCGGCGCCTCCGCCAGGGGGCAGCGCGGAGCGGAACGCGGAGCGGAGCGGAGCGGGACGCGGAGCAAAGCGGGGCGCGGAGCGGAGCAGAATGGAGCGCGGAGCGGAGCAGAACGGGGCACAGAGCGGAGCGGAGCAGAACGGGGCACAGAGCGGAGCGCAGAGCGAGACGCGATGCGGAGCGGGGCGCGGAGCGCAGCGCGGTGCGGAGCCGGGCGCGCTGCACATGGGGCGACTGCAACCACTTAGTGGCCGCGGCCGCCTGCGACCCGCGGGACGGGTAATGGGGAACATCAGCAAGACACGTTGGTGAACTCTGCCGCTAATGGGAAACAGTCGAGGGCTCCACCGATTCTGTCACTTTTTAAACGAAAACATGAAGAAGGGCTAAGATAAAACAAAACAAAAAAAAAAAGAAAAAAAAAGAAATTGGAATAATGGACTTTGATTCAGATACTAAAAAAAATATTTCCTCGAGGAATGGAAAATGTGATTGGAAAAAAAAAAAAGAAAAAAAGAAAAGAAAAAAAAAAGTAAACCGAAATCTTATGGTGATTGTAGCCGCCCGAGCAGACATTCCTGCCCGGAGTCCCCCTAGTCCCCGCTCCACGACGGGAAAAAAACGGGGGGAAAGAAAAAGAGGACGACAAAGAAAAAAAAAAAAAAAAATCTGTGATGGCTCCTAGAGATTTTGGGACCTTAGGGTGTTTGAACAAGTGATTCCCATTTCTGTTCCAGGGTAACTAGCGACTGTCCCAGACACCGCTTTGCTCCTCTGGGCTAAACCGAAATATAGTTTATA